GCCGAGCCGAGCCGAGCCGAGCCGAGCCGAGCCGAGCCGAGCCGAGCCGAGCCGAGCCGAGCCGAGCCGAGCCGAGCCGAGCCGAGCCGAGCCGAACTGCTTTTGTACTTCGGGCCGGCGGGTTAGCTCAGCGGACTGAAGCGCCTGGCAATTGAGGCTGGGCGTGCTGGTGCGCTCGTGTAATCCCGACCTTTGAGAGGTTCAAAAGAAGAGAACCACTACGAGTCCGGTCCATGTAGTGACACCCTGTGTACCCTGTCCTAAATTCATACAAAAGGTAAAACGTGGTAGTTTTTTCGAGGCGTGGTGACATACATCTGTAATTCCAGTGTTTTGGCGACTGAGGCAGGAGGATCACCATGAGTTCAAGGTTAGCCTGTACTATATAGTGAGACCCTGACTCAAAACCAAACAACAAAAACAAACTTCTCACATATTTTATTTTATTAATTAATTGATTGATTTTTTGCTGGCTCAGGCTGCCTTAAGGGCGGGTCTGGTAAGGCAGGTGCAGCTGGGGATCGAACCGCGGTATCCTGCGCCTGTGTTTGTGGGAGCAGGCGCTTAAACAACTGAGCTCTCTTTCGGGTCCTCCTTTCCAAGATGACGAAAAAAAGAAGGAACAACGGTCATGCCAACAAGGGCCGCGGTCATGTGCAGCCTATTCGCTGCACGAACTTCGCCGGGTTTGTACCCAGGGATAAGGCCATTAAGAAGTTTGCCATTCGGAACACAGTGGAGGCCGCCGCCGTCAGGGACATTTCCGAAGCGAGTGTCTTCGACAGTTGTGTGCTTCCCAAGCGGTATGTGGAGCTGCACTACTGTGTGAGTTGTGCCAGTCACAGCAAGGTGGTCAGAGATCGACCTCGTGAAGCCTGCAAGGACCGAACTCCTCCATCCCGACTTAGACCTGCTGCTGCTGCCCCTCGACCTCCGCCAAAGCCCAGGGAAGGGGAGCTGGGTCTTAATGGACTGAAGAAAACTCTCTTGAGAAAGAAATAATAAATTGAATGTTATACTTTATACAGCATGTTGAGTGTACCTGCCAGAGGTGGGTTGGGTTAATTTGGCCTATCCAAGTTTAAGTTTGTACTCTGAAAATGAATAAAGAGGAACACACTGGAAGGGGAAACAAAACAAACCACTGAGCTAACCGGCAGGCCCCCTCACATGTTTTAAAAATGTTTTTTGGGGGCCGTGGAGATGGCTCCGGATAATAAGTGCTTGCCTGGCAAGTGCAAGGGAGTGAGTTCAATCCCCGGTTCTGCCAAAAAATAAATAAATAAATAAATAAATAGTTTTTGTTTGCTTGTTTTGCAGGGCTTGAATCATACCCAGTGCCCTCCCACATGCTGGGCTACCTCCGCAGCCCCAGGGTGCCTTGAGTGGCTTGTTTTATATGTGATCATTCAACTACACTTAGGTTTTAGGTCACTTTCTGTACTTACCAGGATGAGAGGATGACTTTTTTTTTTTTTTTGATGACATTTTAAAACAGAAAAAAAGAAAGATGACAGTAAGGGAGATTTATTTTTCATCTAAACTTTAACTTTCTTAGTGTGTTTCCAGTACATAATGATCTAAGTGGGAGGGGTACAGGTATGGTGCATCCTATCTCTTTTTACTACCCCTCCCCTTGCTGTGTCTGGTGGAGAAGGGGATGATTTAGAATCGTCCCTCCCTCTTCTGGCCAACTCAGGGTCCAGAGGGGTGCACCTCTGGTGCCCCCTTCCTCCAGGCTCCAGGCTGCACTCCCACAGCACGATGGCTGAGTTCAGGTTGACCTGGCTTAGCGGGGTTGTCAGCACAGTGCGCTCTCACCAAGATGAGCTCAGGTACCAGTGGGATTGGGATGGGCTCCTGGGGACAGGCACAGCACCCCCCACCACGCTCACCCTACTTCCCATCAGCCGCAAGTTCATGGTAAGTGAACTTCAAAGAAAGTATTCCTGTCACTCCCAAGAATTCCACAGGATGTAAGAGCTCCACGTCAGATGTTCTTGTCACTTAGGAAATTACAAAGATCTTAGGAAGTCTGCCACAAACTGGGATCAAAGACTAGCTATTAAAGTCAAAAGATTCTGCTAGTGCCCTTCGTGCCCTTATTGCCCAAGACCTTCCTAGGGCTTAAGAGCCTAGTGGCGCACTGGAAGCAGGAAGAGATAGTGCTAGCCGCTAGAATCATTTCACTACCCCACAAACGAGATACAGAAATGAGTTCCCTGGGACTGGTGAGATGGCTCAGTGGTCTAAAGCACCTACTTGGAACAAGCTTGGCAAAGCATCAGGGACCGCGGTTCAAATCCCCAGCAGCACATGCCAGCCAGCCCTGCCCGCTGGTGGGCTGAGCTGGCCACACACACACGCACGCACGCACGCAATAAATAAATAAATAAATGTTTAAAAAAAAAAAGAAAAGAAAGAAATGAGTTCCCTTAGGCTTTTCTTAAAAATTTTCCTCCTGAGGCCAGGTGTGGTGGTGCCCACCTGTAACCCAGGTGATCTGTGGGGCTGAGGTGGGAGGCTTGAAAGTTCGAGCCCAGCCTGGGGAATTTAGCAATTTAGAGAGACCCTGGTTCAAAAATAAAGGTGAAAATAAAAAAAAAAAAAAAAAGAGGCTGGCAGGACAGCTCAGCAGACTGAGTGCCTGCTTAGGCAAGCAAAGGTTTTGGGGTTTGATCCCCAGCACCACGTCATGCCATGAGGGCCTGCCCCTGGGCATGCTGAGCCGGCCACAAAGATGAGGTGTGGTGTGACACACCTGCAATCCCAGTGCTGGCGAGGCTGAAAACAGGAGGATCACTCCAAGTCCGAACTGCAGAGTAAGACCCTATACCAAATACATCAAATATATAAATAAGGTGGTTTTTTTTGCGGAACCGGGGATTGAACTTGGGTCCTTGCGCGTGCCAGGGAAGCACTTATTCCACTGAGCCATCTCCCCAGCCCCTAAATAAATTTTTAAAAAGGGTCAGTGACAGAGCTCAGAGCTAAGACCCTGGGTTCAATTCCCCTATACAAAAATAAATACATCAATACATAAATAAAATAAAAGGGCTGGAGAATAGTCCAGTGCAAGGGCGCTTGCCCAGAATGCTTAAAGGCCTGAGATCAATCTTTAATACTGCAGAAAGAGACTAGCAGAAGGAGGCTGAAGAGGAGAGGGAAGCAGTGAGGGAGGGAGAAAGAAAAGAAGGAAATGGAGAGCCAGGTGACCCTCATTAGCTAGTGACTGCTTACACAGCTGGAGCCTGGAGCCTGGGCCCACCTTGAGGGCACCAGGCGCCCCAGGTCAACAGGTGCTCACACCCCAGGAGAACAGGGCCAAGAGAGTGAGGGTTTAGCTGGGTTTAGCTACTTTTTAGATAGAGGGGTTTCACCTGACATGGACTTTCTCTTTCTTTCCCTCCCTCCCTCCCCCTCCTCTTTCTTTCTATGGAACCCGGGATTAATCACTTGCCAGGCAGGCACTTATTCTACTGAGCTATTTCCCCAGCTCCTGACATGGACTTTCTAAATGCATCAATAAAGTCACTGGGGGCTGGGGAGATGACTCAGTGGAATAAGCGCTTCCCTGGCTAAGCGCAAGGGCCTGAGTTCAATCCCCAGTTCCGCCAAAATAAATAAACTCACTGCAGTGGTTGAATTGTTCTTTTTCTTCTCATCTGGAGAGAGGGCTCCACCTGACCTCAGGTTTCTGTATATCAACTCACATCTTTCTTTCTCTTTCTTTTTCTTTCTTTCTTTTTTTTTTTTTTTTTTGGCGGAACCCGGTATTGAACTCAGGCCCTTGAACCTGCCATGCAAGCACTTATTATACTGAGCCATCTCCCTGGCCTCACATCTTTCTTTCTCCATCCTTGTACCATCCTTTTCTCAAGTGAACTTTGAGTTTTCTTCCAGGAACTTGGAGAGCTGCTCTGGATGCATCAGTGACCCAGGCATGGTGGCTCATGCCTATAATCCCAGCACTTGGTAGGCTGAAGCAGGACTGTAGAGTTTGATTTCACCTGGGCTACACAGTGAATTCAAGGCCAGCTGCAACTGTTCAAAACAAAACCAAACCAGTAAAAAAATATAAAAACAAAACAAAAACTTTTAAAAAGATTGGGAGCCTTCAGGCTGCTGCAGGAGATCCGCTTCCAGTGCGGTGCCAGAACCCAGCCCCAGTCACACGAGTGGCTCTCCCCCTGGACCACATCCCGGACCACAGGGGATATGTGAAGGGCATTTGAAGACCAAGGGACAGAAGGGTGGTGGTGCAGTCCACTTCCCAATTTGACTGCAAAAATGTGCATGGGGGTGGACGCCATATGGGACCTTCTGAAAAACTGGCCTTAGGAGGAGCTCCAATCTTGAAAGTCAGAACTGACCAGGAGAAGTCTGCACCCTAAAGGATCTACCCACCATATCAGCACAAAGCTCATTGTTGTCTGGGCCACAGAGGGAGTTCAGGGCAGCCAAGTTGTTCATCCCTGTGCCACAGCCCTGGTCCAGAAATCAAGTTTTAATGGCCAAGAATAGCGATCTTAGCTCTTAGGAGGCTGAGGCAGGAGGATCACTGTGAGCTTGAAACCAGAAGTCCAGCTGAACTACCTAATGAGACCCTACCTCAAAAACAAAAAGTATCCTTTTGGACTCTAAGGAAGCCCAAAAGCTTCTGGTGATTGTGTCTGTTTTTACCCCTTTATGCCAAAGATTGCAATTTTTTAAAATTTATGAATGAAATTTACGTTACCCAGAAAAATTCAAGGGGAAAAAGTTTCAAGCAGAAACATTTTATTATGTTCTGTTCTTCTGGGCGATCTAAACACAGAAAGCTAGGTATTGAAGGCCCCAACCAAAGGTCCTAGAGTAAACTAAGCCCGGGAATGAGCGGAATCCATGCGTGAGGTAGGAGCGGCTAGCTGGCGGTGCACGAGCTTGGGGCTCCTCAGGACATGAGGGGCCACCGCCCAAGGGCGTGAGCCAGCAGGGCCAAGGGTGACCCGCCGACCCGGAAGAAGGTGGGGGAGGGGCAAGGTCCGGCTGAGCGCTGGGGGGGGCGGAATGCGGCTCGGGAGAGCCGGCCGAAGGGCGTGGCCAGGAGGGTGGGGCTTCGTGTGGGCGTGACCGCCGGGTGGGCGTGGTCGGCGGGGCCTGCGATTTAGGATCCTGAATCTCCCGGGAGGCGTCGGCGGCGCTCCCGGCATCCCCCGCCGGCGTCGGGCGGCCCGCGCGTGGGGT